TCAGGGACTTCCTAAGCTTTTCTGAGTCCTGTACTTGCTGTCTCAATGAGCTGCCCAGGAGAACAGGATGTTTCAGTCTGGGAGGAAACTGCTGCCCAACAGAAGTAGAGGCAGGAGGATGAGATTTATAGGTCATCCTCAGCTAATCTGAGGCTAACCTGGGCTACAACAGACCTTGATGAAAGAAAGAGAGAGAGAGGGAGGAAGGAAAAGAAAGGGAGAAAGGGAAAAGAAAAAAGAAAAGAAGAACTAGGTAGTGAGCAGAGCAGAGGTGGCTGAACCAAAAGCAAGGCAAAGCCTGGCTGGGTCTTTTCAGACACCTTCCTCGTGAGGTGTGCTGCCTCTCAGTCTTGCATCACTGTAATGAAACGTAGTTGACTTTACAGTAAAGGTTGGTTGGTTTGTTGTGTAATTTCAGGTTTTTTTTCCCCTCAGTTTAGGTGGAGAACGGAGAGAGTTACTGGCTGTAAATTTTCACTATTCTGCTATTTTTCAGGGGGAACTGTGGTTCAGTGAAGGTTTGCTTTGGCTCCAGCTCTAGTTGTGCAGGCCCCTGCACAAGTTCCAGCAGGCCTGTGCTCTGGGCCTCTGGCCAGGGCTGCACACACAGCACCAAGCTCCCCCACAGACCATAGCAGCGAGACAAACATTTGGTTTCCCATCATCCCTAGTGAGGACACTCCTCTATGACCTAAGGCCTCCCCCCACTAGGTCCCACCTCTTACAGGGATACAACACCTCCCAATAGTGTCACCCTGGGGACCACACAGGTCTTTGGGGAACATTCAGTGTCTAGACCATAGCAGGTAAGGACCAAGACAGTAGACAACAGAAAAAAAAAAAAAAAAAAAAAAAAAAGTTATACCCCAAGACAGATTTTTTTTTTTGACATATCCTGGAGCCCAGGCTAGCCTCCAACTCACTATGTAGCTGAGGCTGGCCTTGAACTCCTGATCCTCTTGCCTCCATCTGTCAGTTGTGGGGTTATAGGCGTGAAGTACTATATCTGTCTCTCAGTCTCCTGATTTCTAAGGTCAGATAAGAACTTAATTTCGATTTGGTGACATGGGACTTCTCAGCAAGGATGATTTTACTTGCTATTGGCATTTAAGCATGACAACATTAATCCTCAAGAAGACTGGGACCCTATACTAAATGTTCAGAGCCTGTGGGACAAAAGGTCAAAGGGCTGGACAGAGACTCAGTTTGTCCTAGATGGCTGCCTCAGACAGGTGGGGTCCTGCTCAGCCCATCCCTCCACTCCCCTCACCTGTTCAGACTCTCTCTCTAGCTTCCACCACACACCTGTGGGTGTCCTGAAAAACGAGTCTTCTCCAGCTGTGGCAGTTTGCTTTAACAGCACATCAGTCCTTGAAGCTCAAGCTTGGTGTGAATCATACCTAATGGGAAAGTGTCAGGCCTGAGTCAGGGACAGGGCAGGGAGGCAAGAAGGCCAGGGAAATGGGAGGGTGTGGGACAGCAGGAAGTGTAATGGGGGAGGGGGGAGGCAAAAGTGGGGGGCAGAGGATCAGTGAAGGGTATGCAGGTGAGAGAAGAATTTCTTCATTTATTTGTTTATTGGTTTTTTGAGACTGAGTAGCCTTGGCTGTCCTGGAGTTGCTTTATAGACCAGGCTGGTCTTGAACTCGAGGAGATCTGCCTGGCTCTGCCTCCCCGAGTGCTGGGACCACAGGTGTGTGCCACTGTGCACGCTCACGTGTGCTTGTACGCATGCCAAAATGGTTGTGTGGAGGTCGGAGAACAGCGTTCGGAGTCTGTTCTCCCTTCCACTGTGAGTTCCGGGGATCACAGTAATCAGGCCTCTTAGGACAAGTGCTTTCAGGGTCTGAGACATCTTGCCAGTTTCAGAGCTGCTTTAAAGGAGTCATTGCAGGCTGGGATCAGGAGCCTGCTAAGAGCCAGGTCTGGTAAGACATTCCTGTTATCCAGCTTCTCTGAAGGCTGAGGTACAAGGATGGCAAGCTCAAGGCCATCTTGGGCTACAGAATGAGCTTAGTGTTGACCTGAGACAAGACCCTCTTTTAAAATAAATAAATAAAGAAAAAAAAAAAACCACAAAGAGGCTAAGGGTGTAGCTCAGTGGCAGAGCACTTGCCCGGCATTCAAGGCGCTAGGTTCAATCCCTAGGACCCCCTCAAATCACCTCCACCCCGAAAATGGGACCTGTCTTTTTTTGTTTGTTTTGTTTTTGAGACAGGGTTTCTCTGTGTAGCCTTGGCTGTCCTGGACTTGCTTTGTTGACCAGGCTGGCCTCGAACTCACAGAGATCCGCCTGCCTCTACTGCAACTACAGGTGTGCGCCCTGGTGCCCCACTGGGGGACCCATCTTGAGAGACAAGATGGGAGAAAGTGTTAGAAACGAAGCACACTCCTGATGTTGCACAAAGGGACACTAAAAAGGAAGGTAAAATAAATAAATAAAAATGGTGTGCGCTGGCTCAAACTGGGTTTTCATGCACAAACGGGCTAGCACTTTGTGTAAACAAATATTTTACCAGGTAGGAAAGGTGAAAAGATTTGCATGACAATTTTACAAGGGGAGTGCGTGTCTGTGTGTGTGTGTGTTTTATTGCCTTTGGTGAGCTAGCTACCTATAACAGAAAAAAAAACAAAAACAAAACCATTTTCTTATGCAAGAGAGACCCGTTCTTTTCTTCATCTGCCGGCAGGCTTCGGTAACTCCCATTTTCATATCAAGTACCAAACGTTGACTAGTGTTCTCGGGGCTGCCTTGTCGTGTGAGTGTCCCAGGTTGTGAATCCCAGCTGTGTTAGCTTCTTCATGACAGATACATAAGAACTGTTGTAGACTAAAGAAACATATGAGCTCAGGAGAGCAACCCCCTGGAAGGAACTGGAGAGCATGGGGCCTTTGGGGACAACTTCCTGAGCACAGACTCATCTGTCCTTCCTCTGTGCAAAGGTCCTCCGATTGTCCCTTCCAGAGCAAATGGAAATATGGCAGGCCTCAGGGCAGTCTCGGGGCAGAACATAAGTTCTGCACAGAGAAGGCCCCTGATTGGCCAGTTTGGGTCAGACGCTCATTTGTCAGCCCTCCAGGAGGAAGACCATGTGAAAAAAGACAGTAGCTTCTAATCGCCTGTTGGGAATGAGGTGACCCTTTATAAAAGAGGGAGAAGAGCCCAGGGAGGAAGGGGGTTCCAGCCTTAAAGTGCTTGCTGTAACCTGAGTTCAGCTCTCCAGCGCTCATGTCAAAAGAGCTGGCATAGCATAACAGGATAACCCGCTATCCCAGACTGGGGCAAGCAAAGCCGGGACAGCGGGATCCCTGGGGCTTGTGGCCATCCAGACTAGATAAGCTCCAGGTCCCATGAGAGACCTGTCTTAAAAAATAGCAATAATCAACCAATTAAAAAAAAAAAAAAGGTAAGGGCTGGAGAAATAGCTCAGCAGTTAAGAGCACACATTGCTCTTGCAGAGGACCTGAGTTTGGTACCCAGCTTCCATGTCAGGCAGTCCACAACCATCCATAACTCCAGCTCCAAGGGACAAAACGCCCTGTTCTGAAATCCGCAGGCAGCTGCACTCACCTGTACCCACCTAGACACACACACACACACACACGTATACACATAATCATAAATACAGTAAGGTGGGAATAATGGAAGACTCCAACATCAGCCTTTGAACTTTCGTGCACACACATACACGTACACACTAACAAAATAAAGAGGAAGAGATACTAAGATGCAAAGCAGCCGGGGTCCACCACACTCTACCGTGGCCCTTCTTCCCCGATGCAGGGACCTGTGACCACCTAACAGAGCAGGGCCAGCCCTAGCCTGGCCATGACACACGCTGGCCCCCCTCCCAGCAGGCTTACAGCTCTGGCATCCTGCCAAAGGTCTAGTGACAGCCATCAGTCCTGGACCGTGGACTCATGGGATCCCAAGCACTGTGAGCTACACAATAAATTTGTTCACTCCCGATATGCTAATTAGATCACGAAGGATCAGGAAAATCCAAGAGGAGATGCCGGCTCGGGCAAGACTTGTGTGTTCCATGACTTTTCTGCCAGATCCAATATACACTTGAGGGACGAAATACAACAGAATCGTAATGAACACTCAGACTTGAATGTGGTGACTGTGACAGACAAGGCCTGAGCTGACGTGACAGCTATGCGCCTGGTAACTGCGGGAAGATGGCTACCTAGCTCTCTTTCTCTGGAAGACCAGAAGCTGGGCTGCAGTCCAAGCGTGTGGGCTGCACTGCTCTGCTCTATGAAACTGTTCTGGAGATAAAAACCCAGTCCAGGTGTCCCATTATCCCTAGAGTAGTGCTCTGGTCCCACAGGTCCAAACTGGCACACTGTCCCATTCAAGTCTCAGCCCTCTGCTGGACAGTGGTCTCCTTCCTGTGATTCTCCTGTCCTCTAACAAATGGAACCTTAGCCACACCTACCCATTCTGCCCTGCCTAGAGATAGGCCGTTTAATCAACCAATCAGGTGGGTTTACACAAGGATGGTGTACCCAGGCAGTCACCAGCGTCAATATACAAGCACCAGGCCAACCCCCAACATGGGTGTTCTTGTTAGGGGGCCTATTGCTGTGTTAAAGCACAACAAAAAGTAACTTGGGGAGGAAAGGGCCCCCTTCACCCACATTTTCACATAGTCCATCATCGAAGGAAGTCAGAGCAGGAACTCACGGCAGGAACCTGCAGGCAGGAACTGGAGAGAAGCCATGGAAGGGGTTTCTTCTTACAGGTCTGCTCCTCAGGGCTAACTCAGCCCAGAGGTGGTACCACCGAGCTTAGGCCCTACCACATCAATCAACAATCAAGAAAATGCCCCACAGACTCGCTGGTGTGGGCATGAGCTCAACAGAGGTTCCCTCTTCCCGATGATGCTACCTTGAGTCAAGCTGACATAAAAGAGGCACAAGGAACCTCTTACAATATCTGCGTCAGGAAATGGCTCTGCTACTCATACAGCTGGTGTCTTCCCTTCCCTCAGGGTGCAACATAGAAAACGCCTGCTACCCACTGGGTGTGTGTGCCGAGCGGACTGCCATCCAGAAGGCCATCTCTGAAGGGTACAAAGAGTTTAGGGCCATCGCTATTTCCAGGTGAGTGGGGTAGGCCATTTACAGAAGAATCCATCGTGTCGTCGGCTGACACACAACTCCGCCCCACACAACTCATCCCTGATTCGTTCACCAGACACTGTTATGCCAGGTTCACGGGACCCTCAGAGACCACCAGGAGATGACTTGATGCAATTGCAAGAGAGCTTTATTATGAGAGCCATCGAACTCGGGACCCAAGTCTCACTGGCGCAGCAGTAGAGAAGTGGGACCTGGAGCTCTGAGTGAACAGGATTTTTAAAGGGAAAGTCTGTGAGCTGGGGGTTTCCATGGCAGCAAGCAGGGGGGCACAAGCCTTGGCGTTACAGAATTGGGTGAAGTTTAGCAGGGCGGGGTGACCTTTTCTGAGGCACATAATCACAATGGCTAAGGCATATAATCACAATGGCTATTTTTCTAAACCATATCTGAAACATTGGGGAGAATTTTCCCACCCGATTCTCAACCAATTCCCATTGATTATTGCCAGGGAGTTTGTCTCTATTTTCTATAAAGCATTTATTCTGTTATATTTCCTGGAGGCTGTTGCTAGGAGAGGTAACTTTGTTTTCTGCCAGGTGTACATTCTGTGATATTTCCTGGTACCTGAATTCAGTTCCCAGTCAAGATCTTTATTTCAAAATGGAGTTATATTCAGGCTATCTTAAGCTCTTCAACACTTGTCTATTGTACATCTTCTTCCTGCCAGACAGCTGGGATAGGCCCTGAGGCTGAGTGAGAAATTCAAGTTCAGCCACGGCTAAAGAGTGAGTTCAAGGCCATCCTTGGCTACGTGAGACCTTATCTCAAAAAGACCAAGGTGGGGGGCAATGGAAGAGGTGGCTCAGTGAGTAGAGCCCTTGGTGCATGCGCTTGAGGACTTGAGTTCTGATCCTGAACAAAAAGACAGTCGTGATGGTTTGTGCCCGTGATCCCAGCACTGGGAAAGTGGAGCCAGGCAGATCCTTGGAGCTGGCTGGCCAGCCAGTCTAGTCAAAACAAGCAGTGCACTCCAGTGAGAGCACCTTTCAAAAAATTAGGGTGGGGGCTGGAGAGATGGCTCAGCGGTGAAGAGCACTGGCTGCTCTTCCAAAGGACCTGAAGTTTGATTCCCAGCACTGATGTGGTAGCTCACAACCGTTTGCAACTTCAGTTCCACAGGACCCAACACCCTCTTTTGGTCTCTGCATGCATCAGACGTGCACATGCTACACAAAAATACCTGTAGGCAAAATACCCACACACGCAAAATGAAACGATTGAGAATATATATAAGGCAGGTAGTGGCTGAGGACGACGCCTGAAATTGACTTCTGGCCTTCACGCATGTGAGCACACATGCCTGCACGCAGACATGTGCACACACACACACACACACACACACACACACACACATACACACACACACACGAAAAAAACAACAATAATTTTAAAATGGACTCAATCGGTGGTAGTGGAGCAGGGGAGAGTCCAGATTTCCAGGAGCCCGGGGAATCTCCTTAATCTCTAGACTTTAAGCACAAAGGTTAACAGAAAGAGAGGTGCCCAAAGAACAAACACATCCAGGAGCCTGGGTGTGGGCTTCTCAGGAAATGCTCACTCTCTTGTCCCAGTGGTAACTATAAAAGGGATTTGGAAGCTTTGAGATCTCAGGGTTCATCTGGTTCTGGGGGCGCCTCCCCTCCTCTAACTTTCTCCATTTCTTTTTTCCTTTCTTCATTTCTTTCTTTTTGTTGGTTTTGGTTTTGGTTTTTGAGACAAGGTCTCACTGTGTATTCCTGGCTATCTATGAAATCTGTAGACTAGGCTGGCCTTGAACTCACGGAGGTCCACCTGCCTCTGCCTCCCTTTGGAATTAAAGGTGTGCACCACATCTGGCATTCTTGATTCTAGGCTGCAGAGAGGCTTCCACTGGACTCCTGAGAGAACAGCTCCTATCCCCTTTCTTGTCCCTATACTTTTTCCTGTCTTTCTGGTCTGCCTCAGACTCCACCCTCAGGGTTAGCCTACAGAGCAGGTAAGCCCAGGGTGATGGTGACACAGCAGGTTTATTTCTGTCCCCACAGCACCACAGCACTGAGTATGACACAATTCCACCAGAGGCACAAAAGAAAGACGTCACATGGAAACCTGTAGCCAGGGGCCCTGAAAGTCACTTAATACACACTCCCTTGCCACCCCCTACTTTTATAAACAATAAAGTAAAATAACAAAACCCTGAGGCCCGAGAGGCTAAGGAACTTTCCTAGGCCTTAGTGGTAAAGCTGGGACAAAACCCAGGTCTCAGTAGTCCAGGGCACAGTCCACTGTGCCATGCTGTGCCAGGAGGCAGACACTGCTCCCTGCTCTCCTTAAGTGTGCCCAGAACCAACTGTTGAGCTCTGCAAAACTTCAGGAGTCAGCACCCAGGCGAAGGTGCCAAAACCAGTGTCCAAAAGCAAGCCGGTATGGTGACATGATAACAGCCATGTAAGCATGTATATGCTTCAAGATAAACAGACTCCAGCCAGGATCTGGCTGTACTAGAAATCTAATCATTGCTCTTTAGTGCCCCGGATATGCTTGCTCTAGTTCCCATGGGCATCCTGCTATGCAAGTGTGGTGGGGCCGTATTGGTGCTGGACGTACTGTGTGGCTTCAAGACCAAAGCCTGTTTCAATGGACCCTTGTACTGGTTTAGACCCCAGCAATTTAATGCTTTTGTGATGAGTTGCATTTGGGTGCCCCTTTGTACTGGCTGGGAGAGAAGAAATCTTGGCAAGTTAATGGTTGACACGGGACAGAGCAAGCCCAAACAGCAGAGCTGGCTGACTAACCATTGGTCTTTGGCATACAGACTCTAGAAGATCATTTCTTCCTGTGAGGGGAGTTGCAGCCTGGGAGAGAGGCAGGGGCTTAGAGCAAGGCTCATGGGGTCTGTGCAACAGAAAAGGACCTGGGGGCTTTTCCAAGAACCTGTGTTTTGCCCTAGTCTAGCCCCGAGTGGTGGGGGTCCAGAGTACCTGAGTGTCATGTTGGAGTGACTGGAGCCAGGTGTGCCCTCAGGAAGCCAGGCTGCGAGTCCCCGCTTTCCCTGGAGCCAAGGACTGTCCTCTCTTCCCTTCGGTTTGTGGAGAATAAATGAGACTGTGCTGGGAACATTTTGTGCAAATGAGCAGAGATCGGGATGTGGGTTGCACTCTGTGAAGAAATGGGAAGAAATAACTCAATTTCAAAGCTGGTCCAAGAAAGTAATGATGTTCTGGGGGAAGAGAGGGCAAAGCTAGCAGAATGGTGCTGTAGCCTGCCAGCTCTGTTAGCATTTGCCCAGTGAAAGGCTTGTTCTCTTGCCCAGCACCTGCTTTTAAACCTGACTAACTGGGTCTTGCTCCGATCATCAGATGTCCTTCACAACACCTGCAGTTTCTAGCACCCAACTGGCCTACTCAGGGTTTTTAGCCCATAACCTTATCCCCCAGCCAGCAATGCAGTCATTATCACACTAATGACTTATTAAACAAAGAGGGTGGATGTAGAGAAGGAATGGGAAGTGCCAGCCAGCTCCTATTGGCAGTCCAGTCCCCTCTGGGATTACAAAGGATGGTGATGCCATGGGCACTGGCGGAGTCAGGTGAGATTCTGGAGCCCCACTGGACTCCTAGGCTCTGTCAGTAGGATTCTAGCTCACCAAGCTAAGCTGGATCTCAGCGCGTGACCAAGGTCTGCACAGAACACAGGAAACCCTTGATCTCTGGGGGAAAGATAGCAGGGAAGCGAAGGGGAAGGGGATCTGGAAAGCATGGGAGAGATGTTCAGATGTAGCCAGCTTGTCTGATGGTTAATGCCTACTCTAGGCAGTAATGTTGAGTGGCAGTTAAAAGCCTCATCTTGAGGGTCACTGAGCCCTGCCCTACTGTCCACCTAAGGTGTTTAGAAGCCTCTGAGCCTGGCTGTTTTATTTTATCTTATTTTTTAGATTAGGTCTCATGTACAGGCTGGCCTCGAACTTACTTTGTAACTGAGGCTGTGACTCAAACTCCCATCTTCCTGCCTTCACCTCTTGAGTTCTGGGACTGCAGGTCTGAATCCATCAAACCATCTGTATGATGCTGTGGGTCAAACCCCTGGCCTCTGTGCATTATTGTCGTACATTCTAACATTCTAACAGTCCCGCTACAATTCCAGCCCTCAGCCTGGCTTTTTAAGCTATAAAATTCCACTGGGTGGTTGGCAGCCTACATAAAATGACTTCTGGGAACTTCCTGGCACATAGTGTGTCATCGGTGAGAAGCACAGTTGTAACTTTTTTTGCCATGAGAAAAACAGAGGCAGAGTTGCATGGGTTCTGAGTTCAAATCCTGGTTCTGACCCTGACTGGCTCTGTGACCCTGAGTAAGTTACTTCTTTCATGATCTCTGACATGTAATAAGAGCCTGCCACAGGCTCACATCTTTGGGGTGTTGGGTGCTTAAATGAGCTGGGTGGCTGGCTCCTCTGAAGAGCCTCAGCTTAATGTTTGCGACTGCAAGTGCAGAGCAAAGTGAGCCGTTTAGCACAGCTTGGAGCTTCCAGCAGGTGAAACTGAAGCTGAATCCAGCTTCCTGGTAGGATGTGGGATTGCTTCCCTGGAGACTTCTGACTCAGGCCACCGTGTCCAAGAAGAGAAAGGACAGGGCCGGATCACATAGGGTCTCGCCGGCTGTGGAAGGGAAGATGAGTTTCCTTGGTGACTCTCTGGAGTTCTGCCCACAGTCTGCTTCTGTAACAGCCTTTTCATCCTGCTTTGTTTATCAGGTAGGTGCTGAGGTCCCTGAAGGCAGGGGCGCTCTGAGGGTCTCTCTTGCCCCTTTTCCATGCCTGCCTGGCATCAACACCGGTAGAAGGAAACGAAACGTAAGACAGTCAAACCTTGTAACACCTGCCACCTAGAAACTGCATGGTCTAACTTGATTCACAGAGCATCGCATTCCCTCGTGTTCCCCTGGGTTTTCTTCTGAAGCAGGAAGCCTTCTCAGGGAGAACCCCACCTTTTCATGAAGCAGAACTGTGGAAGTGTGTGTGTTTTTCCTCCTGCTCCCAGCCCCAAGCTCCCAGAATAACGACTCAGACTCAAAATATACTTACAGATACTTAGGCCATACAGCTAGGCTCATTCTCTGATTAGTTCCTAACCTAATAACCTATTTGTTCTAGTCTAAGTTCTGCCATGTGACTGGTTACCTCTGCTTAGGTACCGTACGTCTGTCCTCTTTCATGTCTTCACAGGCCAATTTTCTACACCTGGCACTATGCCAGAATTCTTTCTGCATACCAGATGCCCCACCTTCTTGTTTGTTCATTTGTTTGTTTGTTTGTTTGTTTGTTTGTTTGTTTTGAGAGACAGGATTTCTCTTGTACTCTTGGCTGTCCTGGGACTCTTTGTAGACCATGCTGCCCTTGAACTCACAGAGATCTGTCTGCTTCTGCTTCTCAAGGGCTGGGATTAAAGGCATGTGCCACCATTGCCCAGCTGATGTCCTACCTTCTATTCTACCTTTTCCTATAGGCCATAGGTTTTTAAATGACAGGCAATGTATTCATACAATACACAAGATATTATCTTTACACATTCAAAATTTAATCCCAGCACTCAGGAGGCAGAGCTGAGCTGAATGGATCTCTGTGAGTTCGAGGCCAGCCTGGTCTACAAAGTGAGTTCCAGGACATCCAGGGTTACAGAATGAGACCATATCTCAAAAAAAAAAAAAAAAAAGTAAAACAAACATTTTTTTGCTGGACCCTCAGACATAAGTCAGTTATCATGGAATCTAAAAGGCAGCCCCCAGATGTTCTGTCCTCTTTGTTTGCCTCCACTTGGTCCATTGCTGGCTATTAGTTGGCCTTTTCCTCTCATTAGTCTACAAAGTTCTGATCTCAGTGAATTTGTGTGTCTTTTTTATTGTGGTACCCCAGCACCAGTGGCAGCACATAATAAGTACTCAACAAATATTTGTCATCTGAAATGAGCCAACATCTATAGAACCCTCTGCCTGGAGCTCAGCACGCTAGGTACACAGTGCACAGCACAACAGCTGCTGTTAACACACAGTGAGATTAATTATAAACAGCGTAGAGCACATGGTATGTAATAAAACAGAATGCAATAAATAAAGCACTAAAATTATAGTAGCGGTTGCATATGGGCGGGAACAGGTGTGTGGAAATTAGCCCAGGCAATAACAATATAATGTTCTGAGACTCATAAAACCCCGGGGCTAAGGACTTAGCCAAAACGGAAAAATGCCTACTTAGCATGCACGAAGCCCTAGCATCCATCCCCAGCACTGTGTAAAGCCAGGCATGGGGGCATGCCTGTAATACAGGAGCTCAGAGGTGGAAGCAGGAGACTCCACAAGGTCAAGGTCATCCTCAGCTATGTGGCCAGCCTGGACTACACAAGACCTTCTCAGAAATAAAGTTTACACAGCCTTCAGACGTGCTATCTCATTTTGCTGAAATCCTGCCAACTAGATGACATTGTTGCCCACATTTTACAAAGGGACGATCCCTGGGTGACTTCAGAGACTCAGCCACACAGTAAGCAAAACAGGGAGTTGGCTAAAACCCCATGCTCTTTTGGAGCAGTCACCAGGCTTTGGGCACAGAAGGGCAGGGATGGTGGCAGCAGCACCAAGGCCCCTACAGCCAAATCTGTGTTCTCTAGACATTATCCATTGTCCTCTGTCTGAGCTGGAAGACTGCACAGAGGTACCTGAATTTTCACGGGCAACCTGGCTGGAGCGTATGTGTGGGTGTGCGTGCGGGCGCCCAAGGCGGACAGAAGTCTTCAGCTTCTCTGGAGTTGGAGTTACAGACAGTTGTGAGCCGCCATGTGGGTGCTGAGAATAGAACTCAGGCTCCCTGGGAGAGCAGAGAGTGCTCTTAACCACTGAGCCATCACTCCATTCCGCCTCCCCTCCCATATTTATTTATCTAAAACAGAAAACACTCCCAGACTTCAGAATACCCGTTCTGTTGTTTATCTCACCAAACCTATGACCCCACCAATAAAACGGCTGTACTGATTCCCCACTTGTTCTGAAAAGTAAACCAAATGATGTGGTGAAATGCCTGGTGTCCACTCTTCCCGTGGGCCCAGCTGATTCCACCTTCACTGTGAGACATTGTCTCGCTTCGGTGGCAGGCTTGTTACTCTCTTACTGTGCATTCTTATTGCATTTTTTTTAAGTCATCTGGTTTTGTGTCAGCCCCTGGACCGAGCCATGCCTCACCCCTCTCTCCTGGAGTGTGGGTGACAGACAGCTAAGTGCCCCTTAAACATTTATGAGCGCTCTGATGAGGGCAGCATTGCTGCTGTGGCCAGCTGCCAAGCTGCCTTCCCGGCCTCCAGGGCACAATGGTTCTGGGAATCAGGAATCGTTCTGATGGGGTGTGACCTGATTTGCAGCAGGACAGGGACTCAGGCATTGGCTGAGAGCCATGTAACAGACCTCTCTGAGTCGAGCCTTTGTTTCCCCAGTGATTTGCAAGAAGAGTTCATCTCTCCCTGCGGAGCCTGCCGACAAGTCATGAGAGAGGTAAGAACATGGTTCCTTCCTGGGGAGCAAGTATGAGGTCACTGAAGGGCCACACCAGACTACCAGTGTGGACAGTTACTGTCCAGGCTCCTTGGCTGGCTGACTCCTAAGACCTTCATGGATTCGAGTGAGTCACCGGAAGTGAGTCTCTCTTTCAACATACATGACAGCTTTCCATTGTTGATGCCAGGCACTGAGCCAGCTCTGGGGACAAGCCACATCAGGCTTACCCTCACTGAGCTTCAAGCAGCTGTGAAAAAATAAGAGAATCTGGGGGGGGCAGAGGGGCAGTAGGGGACAGAGGATGATAAACTCCAGCCAACAGGCCAATCCCAGCATACCTCTTGATTGTAGATAGGTCTGATGGGGCATGGCTACTCGATGAATGAACTGAGATCACTCTGGCCCTGTGGCAGCAGGGCTGAGCTGTTACGGGAAGACTGCACAGCCCAGGAAACCCCAGAGACTTCCTATGTGGCCCCTTTCAGCAGAAGCTTTGCCAGCTTCTGCTCTAGGTGGCCAGCAAGGGCCTCTCTTTGAAGGTGACGTTCTAGGAGAGATAGAAGTCATGAAAAGCAGTGAGACAGAGAATTCTAGAGAAGGTGAGTTCTAGATAGAAGGGCCAGCGAGTTTCACACTGGCCTAGTCCTGTGCTCTGTGACCAGCAGGACAAAGGGCAGTGGAGGGAAGAGCAATGGGATATGGGATCACAGGCGTGGGCTAGGGCTGGGTCACACAGCCATGCCAGCCAGGGAACAGAGGGCTGTCTATTCCAGAGTAAAGGGAACTGAGCTATGCACTTACAAATAACGAAAATGACAAGTCTTACATAATGTATCTTTTACTACTGTTTTCGGGAGGTCAAGAAAAAGGCATGGTGGCCTGTAATCACAAAACTCGGGAGTTCGAGGCCAGCCTGGGCTCCAAGGCAAGTTCCAGGACAGCTGTGGCTACACAGGGAGATCCTGTCTCAAAAACAAACAACAAAACTGAAAAATGGAAGAAAAAAAAACTGAAAAATGAGAGAGAGAGAATAAAGGGGAAGCCAAGAAAGATATGAAGCAAGTGTTATAAGTTATTATTTCTAATAGTGTGCCCTTGTGTGTGTGTTAGTGTGTGCAAGCGAGTGCCAGAGTGGGAGTGTGGAAGTCAGAGTACAATTTTTTAGAGTCCATTATCGTCCTTCTACCATGTTGCCTTCAGGGATCCGATGCCGACGATCAGTCTTGGCAGCAAGCACTCTTCCCTGCTCAGCCATCTCGCCAGCCCTGGCAAATTTTATAAAACATTTTTGTTTTGGGTGTGTGTGTGTGTAGCTGTACTTGTACCAGAGCATGCATGTGGAGGTCAGAGGACAACTTGAAGGGAATTGATTCTCTCCATTTGGGTCCTGGACATTGAGAATGCAGGTCGTCAGGCTTGGTGGCAAGTGCCCAACCCCCGAACCATCTCGCCAGTCCAAAAATACATTTTTTTTTCTTTTTTGTCTTTCTGAGACAGGGTTTCTCTATGTGGATCTTTGGCTGTCCTGGAGCTTACTCTGTAGACCAGGCTGTCCTTGAACCCTCAGAGATCTGCCTGCCTCTGCATCCCAAGTTCTTGGATCAAAGGTGTGCTCCACCACACCCAGCCCAGTGAGAGCTTTTGATGTTAAGGTGTGCATTGGGGGATGTCAGGGTGTCAGAGAAGCCCATGCCCTCTGTGGTCTACCCAAGTGGAAGCCACAAGCCAGAGAGTCCCAGGCGTGGCCCTTGAGCTGTAGCTTGCTATGAGAACACTCAGAACCTGAGAGCTCCGTCAGCCGCAATGGAGCCCAGGAGAAACAGCCCCCATCTTTTTTTATTTTAGCCTTGGCTGTCCTGGACTTGGTTCATAAACCAGGCTGGCCTCGAACTCACAGAGATCTGCCTGCCTCTGCCTCCTTGAGTCCTGACATTACAGGTGTGTGCCACTGTGCCAGGCTTGCTGCCATCATTTTTTGTTTATTTCCAGAAGCATCAAAGGAGACTGAGGAACAGGTATATCAATGGCAGCCAAGTCTGAGTCCTGCTCCCTGCCCTCTCACCACCTAATCCTCCTGTACCCACGCCCGGGGTTAAGTGAGCAGGAAAGTCTGGGGGGCTTTGCCACAGGGCAGCTGTGTGCTGCCTCTCTATGGACATTTTTGCTTTGGAACTGGTGCTGGAGGATGGGGCAGCTTGGCCTGTCTGTCTGTCTTCTGCTTCCCAACTCTGCAGTCCCCAGAGCCCATCTCCCAAGTCCAGATGGAAAAGTCACCCCCGAGGCATTTAATTCACACAGTGAATTTTACCTCAACACAGAGGGATGGGCACAACTGCCACCACAGTGGCCGTGCCTAAGGAAGCCACCACCATGCACCAAGGCTCTGGTTTTCAGGGCCTCACCTTGATCTACTTGCTTATGGCCATTTTCTCAAAACAGATTAGATGCTGGCAAAGGAGAGAGAGAGAGAGAGAGAGAGAGAGAGAGCGCACAAATAAAAAAAGCTGGAGGAGAGAAGGAAACATAGGACCAAATGTGAACAGTGAGCCATGACGCCTGGGAACCAGGGACCTGGCATCTAAGCCGGCCTACATCAAGCTCACACCCGCAGGCACAGCCTGCCAGGCAGAAAAATTTTCTCCCTTGAAACCTTAGTTCTGAAAAATCCCAAAGATTGATAGTGTCTGACAACAGTTCAGTGATTCCAACAGATGCATGAAAGAACAGGAGGCCATGGACCAGCCTCGGCTGGCAGCCCATGCATCAGTCATGATGCCATGGCTCTGTGAACTGGGCACCTGCTAGGTGCCAGGGTCTGTGACTCTCACCATGCCAGCCAGGAAGAAGCTGGGTGTGTTGACCTCATCTCTATCACTGATTTAAATCTATCTGCCCACCTTGCCGGGACCTTCTTCTATCACTAAAACACCTCATAGAGGGAGATAGAGAGCCCCAGAGGACCCACAGCAAGGTAGGGCATGGGAGAAAGTTCTGGAGACATGCTCATCTTGGCTGATGCATTAGTTCCCTTCCTATGATCTGTGCCACCACAGTACACCGTGACCAAAGCAATTTAAGTTTAGCTGGGGCTTATGGCTCTAGAAGATTAGGATCCATAATCCAGGAACAGCAGGTGGAGATGTGGTGGCTGGCGCTAGAAGTGGAAAGCTGGAATCTGGAACAGTAGGCTCCCGCTTAGAGCGAGTGCCCTGGAAACCATTTCAACACCCTCACAGTTGATTAAATCTGCAAAGCCTCGGTTTTGTTTTGTTTTGTTTTGTTTTGTTTTGTTTTGTTTTTAATCTTTTTCCTTTTTTCTTCTTTTGGCTTTTCAAGGCAGGGTTTCCCTGTGTAGCCTTGGCTGTCCTGGACTTAATATAGAAACCAGGCTGGCCTGGAACTCACAGAGATCCGCCTGCCTCTGCCTCCCAGAGTGCTAGGATTAATGGCGTGCACCACCACCACCCAGTGAAGCCTCCATTTCTCCAAGAGTGAAATGGACCCAATGATAGCGGCCACCTCCATGGGTAGATAATGCTATAATGCAAATGTAGTAGGTTGAGTGTCATGTAATAGACAGGGGCTCCTCCTGGGATGAGGCACAAACTGTGGGGGCAGCAAGTGTTAGCTGTCATTTGTCATTGTAAAAGGAAGCCCAGCTCTGCGGCATAAACTTTTTAAAAACAAGGCCAGAGCTTCAGATCTTCTTGGAGCTGGAGTTACAGGAAATTGTGAGCTTCCCTGGGTAGGAGTTGGAAATCAAACTTGGCTCTTCCCCAAGAGCAGGATGTGCTCTTAACCACTGAGCCATCCTTCCAGCCCAAGACTACAGGTATCTCAACAGGTGCTAGGAAGATGGCTCAGTGGTTAAACTCATATGTGTTTAATCCTGGAGGACCGGCGTTTGAGTCCCCAGAAACCCACATAAATGCCAGGTGGTCTAGGCAGGCACCTGCAATTCCAGTCTTTGAAGGCAGAGAGACAGGAGGATCCCCAGAGCAAACTGGCTGGCAGGACGAGCCATCTGGCTGAGCTCCCGGTTTCATGGAGAAACCAGGCCTTAAGAGACAAGGTGGAAGAGCATGGAGGGTGATTCGAGACCCAACTCTCAGGCTTCCACACGCATGTGCACCCGTTCATGTCCCCACACATGCGCACACACGAATGTATACCACACATACATGAAAATGGAAAGAAGCTATCATTTTTGCAAAGCTCCCTTGACATCCTCCAGGAAATGCTCGTGGCCCATTGACAACAGGCCAGGTACTGTGCTGCTGACCAATGCTCTTCCTCTGAACCCTGCCTCAGGCTCTGTGGGCCAGGTGCAGTTACTGTTGCTCCCGTCTGACAGGGAAGGAAAACTGAGGCACAAAGAAGACCATTAGACAGAAACTAATAGAGTCAGATTCAAACTCACGCCCTCCATCCCCCTCAATCTCAAAACCTCCCTCACACACTTTTGCCCTCTTTTCCAGTTTGGCACCGACTGGGCAGTGTACATGACCAAGCCAGATGGCACATATGTAGTCAGGACGGTCCAGGAGCTGCTGCCGGCCTCCTTTGGGCCTGAAGACCTGCAGAAGGTTCATTGAAGCCTGGAGAATAGAGAACCTGCTGCCAGTGCGGGCCTGGATTCCTTACCTAAGGGACAACCCCTGGAAGACTTCATAATGATGCTGTCGCTGCCTAGACCTTGGGAACACCTACCAGCCACATGGGCCTCACATGGCTGGGTGAGGGCGACCCTAATTCACTACCGCAGTCTCCCCTAGAACGACGGAAGCTGCCACTCGGCCTGAGCCGAAGCCCACATCCTCCAGGGGACTCGGAACACTCCACTCCTTCCTCTCTCTCTCTCTCTCTCTCTCTCTCTCTCTCTCTTTCTCTCTGCCCCAGCATTCCAAGCCTGGTCTTCCTCCTCGCCAGCCTTCCAAGGCCCTGTTCTGTTCCCTGTGACTTTTCTGATTATAAACACCACAGAAGGTCCTGATTCTGAAGAACTCGTTTTTGCTTAGTTCCTGTGTGCAGCTCTTGGGAGTGGTTCGTCTCGTGGGGTCGTCTTAGCTGTTTTCTTCGGGCGGAGGATGTGGGTGCTTCCCAGAGTCCCTCTCTAAGTGCCATCTCAAGTCAGAGGCCCCTTGCCCCTCCGTTCTTGGACGGGAGGCCCCGAGGCAGGGTTTGCTTACAGGAGTCCACTTTCTACAGTGTGGACATGGGCTGTCCCTCGAAGGTCCACGGACTGAGTGGGAGGAAGCTAGATCATTGGGGTGTGTCCCTGAAGGATATGGACAGGCCTCCAGGCTTCTGTTTTCCTCTTCCTCGCTTCCTAACTATGAGGTGAGCTGGTCTTTACCACACGCTCACACAGTGATGTCTGTCTCCCCAGCCAAAGGCTCAAAGTCAATGGACCCATTGGACAGACCCTCGAAAACTGTGGACCCAAACTCGCCCTTCCTCTTCATAAATCGATTCTCCCGGGTGTTTGTTACAAGGCAGAAAGCCGACTGACATGCCATTGCTGGGGGCTGGTTTGGGCTCAGCAGAGACCTGAATCCTGGTGCCAGCCACTGCCACAGCTCTGATTGACTGCACAGTGTGAGGGGAAGAGTGGGCAAGGCAGAGAAGATTGCTCTTGGGGCCCACTGGTGTCACATGCTTTTGTACTACTCTTTGTTTTCAGTGCTCAGGGGTTCTGGGATTTGGCTGCCACCATTCATTTTAGACGATGGGGCGCAGTAGCTGAGAGCTCGGACTGCAGCCATGGCAAAGCTCAGCGTAGAATCCAGATCCCATCAGGGGCAGTGGCACACATCTTTGATCCTAGCACTCAGGAGGCAGAGACTGGCAGAGCTCTGTGAGTTCGAGGCCAGCTGGTTTTACATAGGGAGTTTCAGGCCAGCCAGGGTGATATAGTGAGACCTTGTCTCAACAACAACAACAACAAAAAAAAAAAAAAAAAAAAAAAAAAAAAAAAAAAAGAAAAAAAAAAAAAAAAAAAAAAAAAAAAAAAAAAAAAAAAAAAAAAAATAGGAGAGAGAAAGAAAAAGAAAAAAAGAAAAGCCCTGGTCCCTTGACCCCACAGTGACTTTCACTGCACTCTCACTTATCAAACCCATAAGTGATTTTGCTTTTATTTTATCAATAAACACACAAAGATCAGAGAGGTTAAATCACGTGCCCAAAGTGAAACAGGTGGCAGAGCCAGAACATGAACCACCTCTGTCAGATTCTGAGTGCCTTCCCCATTCTCCACAGCCATGACTGTTCACTGAGTGCCTTTCCTATGTCAAAAACACAGGGAGAACAACGTGGAAGAAACAGTCTGCTCTTGAGGAATGCTCAGTGTGAAGATGTGGGTAGAAGAGTAATGCACAGACAAGCACACGTGACCAGGGAGGGACTGGCTGCTTTGTGCATTGATAAGCATACACACACACACACACAGAGAGAGAGAGAGAGAGAGAGAGCGCAAAACTATCTCAAAGTGGCTTTAAGCTGCAAATGTCCATCCTGCCTGAGGTTAGAAATGGCCTTGGGGCTGGAGATGATGCTCGCTAGGTGGACAGCAATTGCCTGGCCTGTGCAAAGGCCCTGAATTCTTTCTGTAAAACAGAACAAAACACAAAACAGCTTGGCAGTCCCCAGGGCTCTTCAAAATGGCCTCAAAGGGAGGGAAGTTTAAAAAGAGGAAACTGAAGGAAAACATGTAAAAATGTCAGCATCAGTTAAAGCCCTGCCTACTGGGAATACAAATGTTTTTTGTTTTTTGTGGGTTTTGTTTTTTTTTTTTTTTTTTTACATCTTTGTGGTTTTAATTCTAATTTTTTTTGTTTGTTTGTTTGTTTGTTTGTTTGTTTGTTTCTCAAGACAGGCTTTTTCTGTGTAGCCCTGGCTGTCCTGGACTCACTTTGTAGATCACTTGGCCTCAAACTCACAGAGATCTGCCTGCCTCTGCCTCCCTGAATGCTGGGAGTTCCGGGCCAGCCTGGTCTACAAAGTGAGTCCAGGATAGTGAAGGGTACACAGAGAAACCTTGCCTCAAAAAAAAAAAAAAAAAAAAAAAAACAACAAACAAACAAACAAAAAGCAGCCCAATGTTAGGTCCTTAGTAAATATCAGCTGTTTGCCTTAATCAAAGGGGAAAGATTTTGGTGAGGATGAATTTTGCAGTCAATCAATTTGATTTTTCTCTCTCTCTTAGGTTCTCATGTGGCTCCAACTGGGCTCAAATTCACTGTGTAGTCAAAGGTGACCTTGAATTTCTCATCCTCTAGCCTCCCAGGCGCTATGACTACAGGCATCTACTGCGGTGCCCAGTTTTACGGGGGGCTAGGGCTTTGTGTATGCTAGGTATACACTCTGTTAACTGAGCCACATCCTGGCCCACGATTCCTTTAACTATACATTAGCAACTCTGTGCTGGTGCTGGGACACAGCAGGGGATAAAATGCAGTCCCTGACTTCACAGACTCATGGTGGGAAAGTATTTCATGTCAGCCTGGAGAAAGGTGATGTCAGGGAGCAGATGGCACAGAGCAACCCAGGGAAGATGGGCATGTTTCAGCCAGGGGTTAAGAAGGGTCAAGACAGGTCTTCCAGTTAGGAGCATAGAAAAGATTGTCCCGTGAAGCACTGGAGGTCTGGGGAGGGTAAAAACAAGGCACAAATACAGGACAAGACACTTAATGAAAGCAGGTGGAGGCAGCCATTACTCAATGGAAGCTTCTGGAAATGAGTTAACAGTATTCCCTAGGAAGAGCTGTAGTTGTTGGCCCAAGAGAGACTGGGATGTTAAAACCAAAGCATTTGCACTTGGCAGCCAGCTGTGCAGCACACACGCTGACAAGCTGGGTTGTCAGAGCCCCACGTGTTCTATTGTTCAGTGTGTCTGTATCTTCAGAACCCTAAGGCACAGTCCCAGATTCCGAGGGAAATAAATAGAAGCGTGTGTTTCCTCTGCTCTTGCCAGCTGCCACCGCCTGCCTCTTTCAGTCCCACGAAGCTTGAGGATTTCCTCTGGGCAGGAACAAGGTCACAACTACAAATGACAGACACTAGCGTTACACAGGGCCTGAGTCTCAAATGAAAGCCACTGTTCGTGAACAAGAAGCAGGGCATTGTGGTATAGGCCTGGGATCCCAGCTACTTGGAAGCTGGAAAGTGAGTTCAAGGCCAGTCTGGGTTATTCTTGATTTGAGAGCCAGCCTGGGCAATTTAGCAAGACCCCATCTGAAAAAGAAAGGTTGGGGCTCTGTGGTTAAAAGCTTTTAGCGTGTACTACTTTTCCAGAGGACTGAGACTCAGTTCCCAGCATCTATATTAGGTGGCTCGAAACTTCCTGTAACTCCAGATCCAGGGGATCCTAAACTTTCTTCTGGCCTCCACTGGGCTCCACATCACACATGTGATGTACATGTGTCACACATACATAGAAAGAAATAAAAACAAATAGATAAAAATAAATAAAAAAAAAATAATGAGGCAGACGGATCTCTGTGAGTTCAAGGCCATCCTGGTCTACAAAGTGAGTTCCAAGACAGCCACGGCTACCCAAGGAAACCCTGCCTCAAAAAAAAAAAAGAAAAGAAAAGAAAAAAGCGGGGTGCTTGCCTTTAATTCCAGCACTAGAGGAAGCAGAGGGAGATGGATCACTGCAAGTTTGAGGTCAGCTTGGTCTACAAAGGACAGCCAAGGCTACACAGAGAAACCCTGTCTTAGAAAGAAAGAAAGAAAGAAACAAAAATAAATAAATAAATAAATAAATAAGTAGTTTTCTTTTCTTTTTTTTTTTTTTTTTTTTTTTTTGTTTAAGGCTGGAGACATAACTCAGTGGCAGAGCACTCAGCTAGCATGTTCAAGGCTCCAAGTTCAATCCACAGTGTTGCAAAAGAAGAAGAAAAATGGGCTGGTGAGTTATGGTGGGGGTAAGGAAGAAGGAACAGGGCTAAGGATGCAGCTCAGTGGTGGAGTACCTCTGTAGCATATGTGAGGCCCTGATCATTTCCACAAAGATCAAGAGTGGAGAAATAGATAGACAGGAGAGAAAGATAGAGTTATAGATAGATAGACAGACAGATAGATAGATAGAGGATAGATTATAAATAGATAAATAATATTTGACAGCTAATAAATGACAAATTAGATGACAGATCAATGATAGATAAATGATAACTAGGTAATAGAGATAGACAGATTCTAGATTGATGATAGAGAATGGTAGGTTGCAGATAGTTAGAAATATAGGTAATAGATGAGTGATAGCTAGCTTACTGAGTCTCAGCTGTGTGTAACATTTCATACATGATTGTGTAACTGCAGAGGCTGAACAAGGAGTTCGTTGCTGTGGTCTCAACCATTTGATGAAGAACATAAGGGGGGGAAATTAAAGCTCTTCAAACACAGGAAAACACAGGGCACGGGGATTCAATCGGCTCCCTACCACTCTGTGAAAATCACTCTGAGATACAGAGGCTCGGGATAGCAAGCCTCAGTTTCTTTGGGTCAGGATTCTGGGATGAGCTGGGTCTTTGGCTTCCTCAAAAGGCTTCAGAGAAAATGTGAGCCTGAGTTACCATCTCATCTGAAAGCCAGAGTCGGGCAGGTCTGCAAAGCTGACGCACACAGCTGACTATGGGATTTGGTTCCTCATGAACAGCTGCTGTTGTGACCAGGTTCCTTGCTCACATGGGGCAGTTAACAGCATGGCAGCTGGGTTCTCTCAGAATAAGCAGGAGAGAGGAGCTGAGCAGTACAGGAGGCAGAATCTCTCTGTGGGCGACATACTGTATACTTCCATGCCACTGGGATGGAAATGCCTGATGGCATTTCTCCTAAAGGAGAAAGGACTTATTAGCTCCTGATCTCTTTCCCGCTTTTACTCTGCCAAGCCCTCACCTCATGGTGTCACTCACGTTCAAGGTGAGTCTTCTCTCTTAATCCTCTCCGGACACACTTTCACAGACACCTAGGGGTGAGCTTTCTTGGTGCTTC